TTCTGCCCTGACTTTTATGACCTCTGTCATGTGATACTGATGGGATTTTTGAGATGATCAACGAGCTTTGTAGCCCTTCTAGTAACTGTGAACAACAATATCAATAAGCACACTTTAAACAAAAAACAATGTCAGTAACCACATCAGCTCGAGGCAAGGCATACATTTCGCTAAAGTTGCATTGAAGTTTATTAGCAAAACGAACAGATGACTGAACCAGAACATGAAGAACAAGTAAATAGGCTAGAAAGGAACCTAATTTCAGATAAACCAAAGGGTTTCCAGAAAGGAATTTTTTTTTTCAGAACTCACTTAGTATTCGAAAGAATTCAAGCCACCAAAATGGCTGGCATTGATAAAGGAAATACTCAAAAGAATATGAAAGATAAATAAAATACTAAAAGAAATAGAATGAGATGCCTAATCTAAAAGCTTAAGGCTCCAACAAAATTCAAAACATCATTTACTTACTCTAGATGTTGGCTGAATTCTGCGGTTAGAGCGTCGAGGCTCAATAACTTCCTGAGTAGATTTCGCAGAAGTACTAGTGAATATTTTGTCCTCCTCAATCTTAGCCAGCCTTCCGCCAGCAGGAGCAAGTTTTCCTTTGCTGGCCCGTTCAGATTTGATATTTGATGCAGATATCTTCTTAGATGGAGCATCAGACGAGGCACCAACTGAAGAAAATATATTTGGGCCCTCTGCTGCTCCCTCAGCACTAGAGAAGGACTGAAACTCCAAAAGGTTATTCTTTCCTGATGTACTCTCAACATTACTTGCAGAATCCTTGATATTCACTGTATGATCTGAAACAGAATCATCCTCTGATGCAACTGCATCACCCAGCAATTCATCTTTATGAGGGATAGTTCTACCTGATACACTAGGTACTTTTCCAGATTTAAGAACCTTAGATTTAGATAGTGTGGCATGTTTTTCCTTAGGCTCACTTTTAGAAGTACTCTTCCATCCACGTGATCCCGGTCCTTGAGGCATCAAATATTTTGTAAACTTGACTGAATCACTAGGTTCACTGACTTTACTATTCTGATCTGCCACATAATGCTTGCTCACCTCCATAAATTTTCTCTTTTTTCCAGGCTTAGGAACACCAAAAACCACTCTTGATCCTTCCTTCTGCAAACCAGTCCTCCTCATTCTGAGAGAATCAGGTTTACTCTCGTTTCTAGTGCTCTTACCGATATTAAATTTCTTTTCACTAATAGATAATTGCATTAAGGCAGGGTCATGAGGTTTTCCAGATTCTGAAAGATCATCATCCTTTGAAATCTTATCCTTTCCTTTGATCTCACCTGCAGGACTTCCCAACCTTGGGCGCTTTTCATTTGGAGTGTCACCCTGTTCACAAGATGCGTATCGAGAAAAATAAGCAACAAAAACTTTCAAAGATATATAACAAACTTAACATTAAGAGCATAAAAAATACTACCTCCTCACGAGATGAGCTTATGTTCTCTCTCAAGCTTGACCACTCAATCCATTTACCATCCTTCCATATGAGAGAAGGGCGAAGATGCCAAGCCTTAACCGCAGATGTTTCCCCCTGAGCTGAAAGCAGAACCAGGAAATAAATAAAGTTTGAGAGAGAAGGTTTACACAGAATGATGAGTCCAAGCAAACTTCACCACCAATAAAAACAATATGCACCTGGAAAATGGACAGTTAAAGTAGTTTGATCTTTCTTGCTCTTTTCAGTGATAGTTCCTTCCCACCAGCTAAAAGACAAGATTAAAATAAACAAGTGAAATAGATTGCAGGAATGTAGCTATGATAAAAAGAATAATTGTAGAACAAGAACCCAAAAAAAAACGAAAAAAGCATGCAAAATACAACAAAAAAATAGAGGCATCTAAAACAGCTGATGCAAACATAACTGTTCAAAACATGGAAACTCACGGAAAACCAAGCACAGGAACTAATTATAGTTAAGCCAGCTTAATCAGAAGCAAATGAACATGCATCTTCTAATGTTGCTCCATGTAAAAGAAAGAAACCTGAATTCTTGATCCTCATTTAAGTAGATGATTTAATGTTTAATGCACTCAGGTTCAAGATCACTGAACTCCCTACATGATCTTATTCCTTACAGTTCCCTAAATATGTTCTGGCAAGAAAAGAGATCAAATTGACATTTTCTGGAATAATCTTTTAATCCCAGCATTATCAGAGCTTCTTTCTTTCAAAGCATCGTCTTTGAATTACTATTTTTTCAGAAATCATTTCTAATAAAAATGTATATTTCTTGGACTAAGCATTCCCTCAATAACTGACTACTAATCTCTACATTTTCATAAATCATTTCTAATAAAGATGTACATTTCTTGCACTAATGGTTCTCAACATATTCAAATAATATATTTCCTCCAAACCCCTTCTGAAGCCAACTTTGAAGGATCAATTATGCACAATAACTTATCTGGTCATTTTTTACAAAATAAGTTACATTTGAGGTATACTTGCTTCACTTATCTGGACTCAGTGTTAACTAGAAATATTCTTGTAATTTTTTTGGACCACTTTCTGTAAAATGGTTAGCCATCTAACACAGGATAAAAATTTGCCAACAAAGTTAGACACCCTCCAGCTATATGGTAGATCCCAAGAGCTCTTTCCAGCATCCTTCCATGCTCTTGAGGATCAAAATGAAATGACAGACAGATAAAACATGCTACCTATCTTGTATCCATGCATCTACTCTATCACCAATAGACCAATTATAATCTCCAATGGTTGCTCTACGTCTCTTCCTTGTTCCTTCAAATGGCATTGCAGTTATTGGACGAGACAGTCTTATTTTTGGTGCCTTTTCTCCTTCACCTTCAAGCGCTACCCATTCCTTCAACTTCTCCACACCTGAAAGAGGCGGAACAAAACTGGTAAAGAAAGTGCATTGGCAGCATACCTTTGGTGCCACTTGTTTATAATAATTCATATTTTCCTCTTAAAAAAATGAGACAAACAAAAGAAACTTATAAACATTTACTTGCATTCTCGTCCTGAAAATTTATTTAGGACAATAATTGACATAGGGAGAACAGGGGTAATTTGGAGATCAGATTTTTAGGAATCAATATCCAGTTTCGTTGGATTGCAAAGTTCTGCTTTGCCCAGAAATTTGGGATAAATTCTCATTAATCTGCTGGTTGCGTAATATGATGTGTTTTTACAAGAGAAAAGATATTTGGACCGCACGTTGTATCATGACTAAACTCTTAATTGGAGAAGTAAAATAAATCATAATCCAAATAATGTTAAAACAGATTTGAACTATGCTACAACTATATTTAAAAAAATAACTATGCTACAAGTAAATTAACAACTCCTAGACTAATACTAAAGTTCAAGTAACAAATAATGCTACCTACTCAATCAACCGTTAGGCCAAACTTAATGTTAAAACTTTTAGTTCTTGGATCATCATGTTGCTAACTATTAACTCGACTGTAAACCCTAATTTAGCACTAAAGCTGTTTTCTTAGTTCTTCACTCCTGTGTCAACACTGTTTGAGCTCAATAGTTGCAGTAAAGAAGGTGCCTAGATTAGCATATTCCTATTCTCATTTTAACATATTTAACCACAAAGTTGCAATACCTGAACAGAAACATCTTAATCTTATATATTGGTCTTAACAAAATAGATCTATTAAATAGATTTATTTTTCGAGTATTTGTTGGATAATTCTACAACAAATAGATTAACTTTACAAAAATTTTACTCTCTTTGCAGGGGACTCTTCAAGGAGACAGGTCTAGAAGACCTAACATTAGCAGTAAACAAAAGCACTTAATCAGAGAAAATGACTATCCAGGTCCAATGTTGACAAAAACAACATGGCTGTCTTAGTCAAAGGTTGAAACATTTAGAGTACTTAAAAGCCTAAAAAGTTTGATCATTTGAAGCCAATGCTACTATAGCACACCTAAAGCACCAGACTAAAGCAAAATATGTTTTTTAAAGGTATGACTAATTAGCAAATTTATGCAAAAGCAAAATTTGCAAATAATACTGAAGAGAATCAGTAATCCAAAAGCAAAAAAGCAGAGTTACCTTCATCTGATGAAAGTTCAGCATAGCACACATAAGCTTTTCCGTCCTTCAAAGTCAATACATCAGCAGAATACCATGCCGTTTTAAATCCAAGTCCATCCTTAAAAACCTGAGAATATAGAATATCTAGGTTTCAATTTAAAAAACAACCAAAGCAAAATAGAATGGACCAAGCAGCAAGATAGAACTTCCTTAGAAAATAAAGAAGAAATTGACAAACAAATACTCCGATCAGAATTCAAGATTTGAGTGAAATAATATAGTACTTGAGAATAGAGCTCAAAGGTAAGGAATTTTAAGATTGACAGTTTAATTTTAATAACTGAGTCAAGTAAGAAAAATCAAATACTTAAGCTCACAAACCTCTACGTGTGACCCCTCACTGATGTCATTCCCTTTAGAATTTTCTCTTGTCTTTTCATTCTCAATATGAGAGGCACTGGCAGATTTCAACCCCATCTCAGATTCAGAGACCACTGAAACAGCTTTAGCCAAATCTAAAGTTTTTGACCCTTTTTGTCCCTTTATGTTCTTTCCACTATCAGCAACTGAACCAGAGATGCCATCTACCAATTTCACATTGTCCTCCAACTCCTTGGATATATCCCGTGTGCCATGGTTGCTAACCCGTGCATCTTTCTTGCCTAAAGAAGCTTCTTGAGAATGCCTGGCCCAAGTATCAGGACCTTGTCCACCACTGAACATATTCATCTGGCCTTTACTTGACTGGTTTGACTTGACAACCTGCTCAGGATGTATGTGAGATACTTTCCAATAACCATCTGCACCAGCTTCTACTAGTTGACTCAATGGCAAAGGATCACCCATGGCAACAAGTCTTCCCGCCTGAGAAACAGCTTCTGCAGCCAGCTCAGCAGCTTTTACTATGGCATCTATATTTTCTGCTCGCTTTGAAGCAGCTGTTGCAGCTTCAACCCTCCTCCTAGCAGCCTCCCTTGCAGCAACAATAACGGAGTTAGAACTGTTTGTTGCAGCTTCACCCTTCAAGATGGATGCAGGAGTAGCTTGTCCCATGTTTCTCACACTATTAGATGAGGAAATGCCATTACTTTGATCACAACTTCCACTGCCACTTGAGAACAATGCTTCATCAGCCATGACTTTTGCCTGTAAAGCAGCACTGGACGCTACATTGGCGGCAGCAGCCGCAGCCTTTGCAACAGCAGCAGCTGCTGCTATTGCAACTGCTGCAGAAGCTAATCTGGTTTCAGCATCAGGCTCTAAACCAGAATTTTTATGCTTGCCTATCTCTGTCCACAGCTCTTGGCTGCGACCAACTGCAAAAGCAGCAAGAGCAGCAGCATCCTCTGCCTGGACCCTGGCCTCTTTCAGTTTAACAAGGGTCTCCTCTGGCAAAATAGTCCTTGGCTCTGCCTCAAACTCCCCTTTTCTCATGTGACCAGCACGGGTAGACAGAGGTAAAGAGGCAATTAACTTATCTGATGATGCCTTAAACACAATGTTAGTAGGGGTTGCGATAGACACGGATGTAGACAGATGACCTGTAACAGCAGGAATAGACGCTGGCTCTGCCTGTGATTGAGAATTAAATACAATCTGGCCAGGTCCATCAGAAACTGGAACCTTTTTTCTTTTCCTCGGCTTTGGATCAGCAGAGTGCTGACCAGGTGCTGCTGTCACCTTCTTCGCTTCAATCAGAGGAGTTCCTGCAAAAACAGCAACAGGACTCCCAGTCTGAGCAGGAGGGCCCTGGGAAACATGCTTTATGCCAGACAATTGAGAGATGGATGCTTCCTTTACAGGAGTTAACTGAACTGTCTCAGTAATTGGTAAAACAGAGAAACGAGCACCAGTATCAAATGCAGAAGTCTGAGGAGGAGCAACCCACGGATTGCGAAAAGAGGCTGGGGATAACCAAGAACTGCCATGTCCAAAATTTTTAACAGGTGGAGTTTGATGAGGATGCAATCCAGAGAGTGCTGGCTGGTAATCTGTCAAAGCACCTCTTGGCAGACCAGTAGATTGCAAGGAATCACAAGGTGTAGAAATGCTCCATATTGGTGAGGAAAGGGGTGCTATAGGGTTCACAGCAGGAGTATTCTTCCCACTGGCTCGAGCAACAGGAGAAGGGCTAACCTTACTTTGAATTGAACTTTGTTTAATTGCTTGATCGGGAAGTCTACCACCTACAGATCTCAACTTCGACACAGTTATAAATTTGACTGAATTGTTGGATATAAATAGAACATTCAGAATCAAGTTAGATACCTGAACGGGGTTGTAGAGGAGTTTCTGGATTAACTGAATGTGATTTTTGATTATGAAGCCTCTCAATACATGTGCGCCATGCATTCTCCCACATGCTCTTGCCACCATCTGGAAAAATGGAGGAGAGTAAATCTTTTCGTTTACAAGTAATAACATATTTAGTGCTGAATACTCACCAGGACCACCAAATGCTGATATCATATATGCCTCGTCAGGTACTGTCCCTTGTCTGTAGCAAAATTTGAAAAACAATTAGGCACTTCTCAAGATAACTATAGTATGGTAAGTTTAAGCACCACCAGGTCCAGAACATGAGCCTTTCATAGAAACTTAAAAAGTATCTTGTCTAGGCCTCCGGTTCCCATCTAAACATAATTTTGTCCATGCGCGCACACATGTTTCCCATCCATGCCATGTGTTTATACCTTATAACTGGAACTCCAGAATTGCATTGATTCCATTCTTTTAACATTGCAATATTCATCCCACCCTCCTCTTCCAGGGGCTCCCCAATTCTGGTCTTGCATTTTTCTATGACATCTTTTCCACGCAAGATAAGAGAGGAAAAAATATACTGGCTTACCTTTGGACAGGCTCAGATAATTCAAGCTCAAACTGAGCAACTTTAGCAAGTAACTAATTCACTGCCATCTTACAGATTTCTAAGACTAGAAGTAGAATTGATATAAATATCTACAACTTCACAAGAAACTCTATAGAAATAAGAGCAAAGAAACTGATCAGAACCAGTCCTACGCCTTAACTCTAACCATAAAAGTAAAAACAGCCTACAAAAGACAGAAAGGAACTCACATCAAAGCCCCATAAACGAAAATCTGAGCACGCAATTGCACTTGCTGTAAGTCTGTGAAAGGTTGTTGAAATATAATAGTTGAAGAAACCGATGTATTCAAATCTGGCAGACTAGACGCTGAGGTAGTAAGAACTCCAAACGGTTTGATGCTGCTTGCCTCACTATGCCCATGGTGCTGCATCTCATTAGATTGCACAAGCTGGACAATGCCAGATGAGCTCACAGACACATTACTGGTTCTTTCCCCGCTTTGTAATTGCCTCAGAGGAGTCTCTTTCCCAGCATTTCCTTTCTTAGTACTTTCTTTGCCCTTACCAGAAGGTCGCCTTGTTTTCCTCTCAGGAGTTCCTTTAGAACCACTACGTGTTACCTCCCTATTAGACACCTGGAGACCTCCATGAGATACATCTTGAGAGATCTTGGCATCTGCTTTCTCTAAGCCAGAAGTTGAAGGGGAGGGTCCCACAATCTTTTAGTAATAACAAGGAAATGGTATTAGCGTCAAGATAATCCGAATATGTTACAACTCCTTTGATCATACAGAAAAAATGTAAAGCAAGTTGTGTCACAAAATAACTAAAATGTGAAACTAAAATCAGAAATTTAAACAAGAAACATTACCACAGATGTTATCGCCGCCTGTACAGCGGCAAATGGTTGCCAACTCTTGCCAGACTCTTTTTCAGACATATCTGCCAAAGGAGTGACCTCGAAACTGAAACTCTTGTCACCATCAGAGGTATCACTTCCTTTTGTTTCCTGAGAGTCAATGACCTTTGGAACTGGAGGATTCTGACCACTAGGTACTTTAACTGCATCCTCGTGGGTTTCGCTTTGAGGAGGACTGGTGGCCTCGATAACAGTTGGAGAAGCACAAGAAGAATTCTCGAAATCGGCACCGTGATGTATATTTTCAAGCACATGAGACTTAACGGGAGATTCCAACACAGGGGTTGAATTAAAGGAACCTCCAGCCATGCAAGTATCACCTGCATATCAAGTAATCAAGACAGGCACAAACTGATAATTTCCAAGAGAATCATAGACCTTCATTTTAGCTAATCTAGCAAGAATAGGGGCATGCACCTTCAATTGGTCATTCTCTAAGAAGTTAGAATATAAGCACTACAAGTTGCAACAGGTAAATA